ATAAAGTATATGGAACCCTAAAAATAATGGGACATCAATAAATTAAAGGGAGGAGATTTTAAAGGTTATTTTTATTTTACTTTCTTCAAGAAAGACTTGTGCTATCATTAACAATGTATTCATTTTAAAATGCAGCTCAATATAACAAATTAATATAGGTAACGTAATTTCCAGTATTTGAACAAATATAGCGTGCGGACTTTGGGCTTTATTATCAAATGAAAACTAACAAAAACTTCAAGAGCTTCAATATTTTCTGAAAATTTTAGTTACGCTTTTTGCTGGCTTTCAGAAAATTGTAGGATTATCTTCAGGTCCTTTTTAGTGTAGGTATTACATAATTTTCATTTATTATTACTTTGTGTGCTTCATTTGTGAGTATTCTACATAATATTCCATTAATCCAAGTTTAAAACGATTGTCCAAATTAGTCACATTTCTTTGTGTTGAAGAGGCATAATAATAACAGTTTGTTCATTAATTTGTTGATCGGTTGAATAAAACGAGGTTCATCCTCGTGTTTCGGCCATATCGACTAGGTAAATACCGCCTCTATCTGCATGCGTTTTCAAACAAGCCGAAGTCTAATACGATTGGTAAATGAGGACTGTGCACTCTGTTTGCTAATTAAGGAATTTTTGTTGTAGTACTAAACTCTGCTAAAGACTGCAATTGGAAAATTTCATTCGAAGTAGTGTATGTATCTGTACAAGGCGTTCTTTAAATATTGTTTAAAAAGGGTTTTATATACTGTGTGATTTTGGGACACACAATTGTTTAATTTGTTGATTAATAGTGAAGCAATTAAAAAAGAATATAAAAAAAGGAATTTGTGTATGGTTAATACTGAATTGGCGCTTCTATTTACCATTATACAAATTTTGTTGTATTTGGAACACCAATTCAAGATCAATAAAGATTTTTGCTAATACAGTGTAAACTCTATATAACGACACTTAAGGGACTGAACATTTTTCGGCGTTATAAAGAATGGTCGTTAAATGGAGAGAAATAAAAGATATTATTTTACTATTCTATAATAATATGCATTTACCAATATAGTACACATTTTGCACACGAACATTATTATTCATACATTGCGTATAGCCTGTTATCTTCGTCTGATGTTTTTTGCTGCTCCAATATTTTAATTGTATTTTGTTACGTATCTTACTCATATCTT